GGCTGCTTCGCGCTCCTAACTCAATTTTAACTTCGAAAGCTCCTTTATTCCCTTAAATCCTACAATAATATCGCAGAGCCATCGCGCACGGTTCGCGAGACTATCGTTTCAAGATCATGTCACAAGTATGCCTTCTAAACCCATTACTTATCCAAATCCTTGTCCTGGTTAATTCGTGACGCACCTGTTAGGTTCGACTCAGTTTTAATTCTGATCTGTTTTATTGTGTAAAAATAAAAATAAATAATATGTGATGGACGTTCGAATTTGTTCATTATTATCGGAATAATAAATTATCAGGGAGGAATGAAACTTACAGCTGTATCAATAATTATTTTATTAATTTAGTTTAATAGAATTATGTAAGGAAAATGTTCATAGAAATTGGTTTATTGCATGAACGAATCTATACTATTTAAGATGTAATTTCGATAAGTACATAGAAATTTTATTTTTCTATGCTTTAGTTCACTGTCGCATAAATTTTATTGCATACGTCGTATAGTACGTACAGGATAATAAATCAAACAGCTAAATAATCAATTGTGTCAATAAATGTCGTACGCGTGAATATTAATTAATCTTTTGAATGATAAATTGAAAATTTTTGGAAATATTGGCAGAAATATTAGATAAATATGAAAATTGCGATACTTCTTAAAATTTGCTGAAATTTTTTATTTCGTTATAAATATTAAATTAATTAATGAATGCATAGATTCTATCTAACTCTTATTTTTCGTCACGTGTGTTAAGATATTGTAGTAATTTTTATATTATTAATTACTTTTACAGGAGTCAGTTAATTTTAAAAAATAAACTAGCTTTGCTACGCGTAATTTAACTCCAGTAGTTTCGTACTGAATATGGTCAGACGAGGCGATATCCAATATATCGGGTTTTAGATATCCGTGTAATGAAACCGAACTTTGTAACCAATTTTTAATCTAAAATATGTGAACTAACGAAATTACTGAATTAAGGCATCACAATTTCAATGGTAATATCTAATGTATTTATTCTATTATACATAACTCTGCGTACGCTGTAACAATTAAATTTTATAAAACAGTAATAATAATTTCTATCATAAATTATTCTCCTTTAACATTCGAATTACTTAAGGATACAAAAGCGAAACGAGAAAATAAATTTCCACTCAAATGATTCACTATTACAAGAAGACTTTTAATTTAAGCTTAAGATGCCTGAAGAACAAAATTAAAAATTCTTTAAAATTTTCCTCGAAGATTTGAATACTGTTTTTAATTCTTCGATTATAAAATTATAAAACGTATGACAATTAACAACATAAATTAATTTATAAATTAGGAACTTCTTCCACCCTAATTTAAATTAAATATTTTATCCCGTAGAGGAAGATAAAATATTTTAATAATAAAAATGAAAGTTCCTGTGAAATTTAATTACTAGCAAAAATTTCCTAAAATTCAATTTTCCAATACTTTTCGACAAACTTATTCTTTAGGAGGCTAACAGGTTACACGGATATTCTAAGAAGCTTTGGTCACCGAAAGAGTACTTTATTCAGGCGAATATCTCCTCTTTTTGTTAAGCTGTAAAGAAGACGAAACTGAATCGAGGTCGATGAAACTATTGTAAGAAGTTCCATAGAAGTAAAGACTCTGGTCATTTTAATACCACTTTAACCACTTTGGTATTTCCAGTGAATGTCTTTTACCTGCCCTTTTTGCTCAATCGTACTTACTTATTATTGTTCGAACGAATGCATAATGCATAATGGAAATGATCAAGCTTGACAGTATAATATTTTTACATAAAGAGGAAGAAGACATCGTTGCTAGGAATAGCAGCATTGACAGATGTGATTGATAGGAAAATTATAACTACTTTCTTTGCTTTCTATGAAGAATTGCCTTATTTCTCAAAAGGTTTCAGTTATGTATCTATTAATTTATATATATACATAATGATCACACAACTAGGATCTTCAAAATATTTAGAAATAAATAAAATATAATTTTGTGCATTTTTATGCATTGATTTATTTAAAAGTACAATTATGCTTTTTTGAAAATAAAATCCTATAATTCTGATATTACTAAGACAATTCAAAATACTTACACCCTAAGCCTAAGTTAACAATCTAAGATATAAAGACAGAATTTGTTATTTAAAATTATTTCCTTATTTTACTCCAAAACAATACCTTATTAAAAATATTCTAATTTCTTCTGCTAATTTTAAAGCGAAGAAATACTTGCATATTGTATGAGAATTCTATTATCTACATATACTCTTATTCAGATCCTCATGAAACCTCCCAATGTTTCTTTTACATACAAAAAGACCAAACGTTAGACTAAAATAAAATAAGCGCATGAAACTTCTTGTTCGTTACAATTTCACCGGAAGTTCCACGGTTAGAAACGAAGCAGCTCATGGCTGCGTTGAGAAAGGTTGAAGCTAGAGAGGTCGAACGGCACCCTTACGAGCATCTTTAACGATTGCCTTGGTCCGTCGAGGTTACGACTATTAGAGCGAAAACCTGGAAAATTGCGTTCATCGTGGAAAAATGGGGTATTCCGGCGCGTTTTGTCTTCTTCAGGTTATTGTCCCTTCGCGAAACTCATCGCTTCGACGAGCATCTTACGGTTGAGGCTCGTGTTTCGTTTTAACTTTTCGCCTCTACAATCAACGGAAGGACAAAACCTTTAGTGCTCATCCATGGATCGTGACTCGGTTGCAAACGATGGCTATTTTTGAGTTTGAGGGTTTTTAGTATATCGTTCATACCTGTTTCGTAGGGTCTGAAGAAGGTTACGGTACGATTACTAATGTTTGAGTACGTCGGTGATAGGTGTAATACAAATAACCGAAGGTTAAATATGGGAAAAAATTCTGCGAGAAGAGAGATAAAAACAAATGGACGTTAGGTATACTAAGAATGACCTGAGGTTAAATGTGGGAAAAAATTAAGTGAGAAGTGGAATAAAAAAGATGGATGATGGGTGTAATATGAATGACCAAAGAATAATGTGAAAAAAAATTCTGTGAGAACAAATAACAGAAAAAATAATATCCTGTAATATAATGTATAATATAATAATGTATAGTATATGAGTCATTCGTGAAATAAAGTTATTAACTCCACTGATTAAATTTTTCTTAATTTTTGTGTTACATTAATCGATCGATTCTTAATTTCTTTATATTTAAAATAAATTTCTGTTGCTTATTTCAGTTTTAAATTAATTAATTAATCTAGTAAAAGAACGGTTTATATAAAATAATATAAATTATTGTATGATAATATTAAACAATCTGATTTACTTAGGAGTAAGAAACTGTATCTTTATTGTCATTAAAGTTAGAAAAAAATGTTGGAGGGTCAATGACTTCTCTGTAATTCAACGCATAAAGGTCATATGAAGATTAGTGATGTTTTACTAAATGAACATTTGTCATTATTTTACACACATAAGATCCTTAAGTTATTTTACTTAAAAGGGTATTAGAATGATAGCGACAAAAAATTGTAAAAAAGAACGTCAGTAATCATCCAAAAGTATGTGAATAACCTTCGTATGATCTTCGTGTCTATCTATGGAAGAACTAATCACGCCATTTTGTGGTTTCTTAAAAGCTTCAAAAATTTATCATTCTTCTCCAACATTTCTTTCTAACTTCAATCAGACCAAAGATATGATTTGTTACAACTGCATAAACTACCCTGTATATTACACGAAATAATTATGTCAATCTCGCAATAAATACTGTATGAACAAAACAGTGTCAGGAATATTGCAAGAGGGATTTTGCAAACTATCCATATGCCACAGTAGCTCTGAAAGTTTAAAATCCAGGATTAACAATAATCTCTGGATCAATATGCCTACCAGATAAGAGATGTTATTGGTATCAATAGAGAATATCTGGTAAATAGGAATTACTACATCCTTTTAAAAATTAAAGGTTCATTTCGATTATAGAAATACATTTTTTCTTTTCTTTTTCTTTTTTATTTTAATGGTTTGGGAGTCTGCAATTCGAAATTCCCAATTCATAATACTCGAGAATCAAAAAACTTTATATCAACCAGTGTCTCATTTCAAGTATGATTATACCCTTCTTCAAAAGAAAGCGCAGAGAGGCTGCAATAATAGTTATAATACAGTTTTATTATACGACGTGATCATGCAAGAACAAAAAGGAGTAAAAGTGGAAACTGGAAGATAACGTTTTGTATGAAGAACTGTTATGGTAGAAAAGGGTAGTCGTAACCGTGCCTGTAAAACTACTCTACTATCTTGGAGAAAAACCTGATGATAACTGCTAAATCGACATTTATTCAAATTTCTATCACTGCGTAATACTTCTTCGCGTAATTAATACTGTATTTTCACATTATTAGCAGCTAATATCTCTGAACTACTCCCACGCCATTAATTAACTGCCTAACTCGTACAGAATGATCATTACCCATTAAGTAATTAAATTAATTAAATGCCAATTGCGAATTCATAAATACGCAATCCATAGGAATATTTAGAGAAGTTAATTACGAGAGAATACAACTGATTTATTGAACGAAAAAATAAGAGTCACGAATATCGATACTACCAAAATACCAGAAAATATAAGTAACAAAATTTCCAAATAATTTGGCATTTTTAGTCAAATTCATAGACTCATTAAATTCATAGATTCATTAACCTGACTCGGATCATCAGAAATCTCACAATTTTCATAATAAATCACCATACCCTCATCAATACGTATAAATCATATTTCTTTATCCATCTTATAATAAATCTGACTATATTAAATCATAAAAAAATTGTAACATTTTCCTCACTCATTTTTCCGACTTTATAAAAACAATTACTCTTTAAAAATTACAAAATAGTCAAAAATTAATCGTTAAGATAAAAATATTCTTCTACTGTTTGTTCTATGGTCAATAATTTTATTTTTCCATTGTTTGGTATTTGAATACTACCTAAATACTGAAAAAGATGAAGAAGGACGATATGACTAGCAAATCGTGTACTTCGGAGTCTTCGAGAGCAATCGTCTTTAGGTTTGCAACCACCACCGACTGAGGGGTTGACATCTGCCACAGGAAAGGTCGTAAGGGTCAGGCCCCGGATGCCTATGCGACTAACGGGTCCGTTAATTGCTGTGTGCGACCCCTGGTTTCTGATATGTCTACATCTAGGGGATCCGGGGCGTCAGGAGCGCACGTGCTTGCCAAATGTGCAGTGATCCGTGACTTCCAAGGCCCTAATTGCAAACATAATCCCCTTCGTCGACATTCATAGACGATTGCGGATTTTATACGTCCATATAGTAAACCTGGTCCTCCAAATGTCCTGGTGATATCGCTCGAATCATCACGGTGTTAACCAACCCGTGACGCAACACAGCCGCAACAATCATTACCTTCGACTCGTTTCCCGAAGCTTCTACAATTTTAATCATCGTTCGACATGGATCAGCGATCCGCCGAAGTTTCACAGAGACAGATTGCTTTTGATATTAATTCGGTCCCCATCGATTCGGTTCCCATTAATTTCTCTGCTGGACAAGGACGCTGCGATAGTTAGCGAAGACAGGCAAACAGCAATTCGCTTGATTCTGGCATTGTTTTGAATTTATACGAAGAGTAGGAGATAATAAAAGGAATGTCATAATTGGTTTATGACGAAAATTAATTTTTGATGACCTGGGTCGTGAGTACTCGATGTCTACTCGATGTCTATACTCTATCTAGGTTCTTCAAAGAAAGAACTGATTCTTGTTTAAGGAAGAAACAATTATACTTTGTCATTTTAGTATTTCTCCAAGTTTAGTATTATAGAATATTTATATAAAATACAAAATTTTAAGTTCTATTATTGTCAAACATAGAATATTACTTTCTTGGAACAAAACTTTGTTATTCCTGACATAGTGAATTTATGAGAAACATTATTTCTTTCCAACCAGTGTACAAAATCTTAGGATTATGTTCAGTAACTTATATATTTCGTAAATTCGATAATTCTGTAGTTCCATAAAATGGACTTGTTTAGGTCATCATGTCAAGATATAATGATTAATGCTGCATCTGTACACATCAACGTTGATGATGTCCTTCCATCCAAAGGGCCACCTAACTTATGTTTAGATCGATTACCAATAATTCCAATAAAGGAGAAAGCCCGTTGCATCTAAGTTGATTATTGGACCTGTTGCAAAGTTCAAATTTCAAAGTAATTCTGTTACCCATAATTAAATCCTTAAATTTCCAAATTATTTCTAATAACGATTTTTTTCTTTGACGATTAACTCACCCCAATGAGTCATTGATCGCTATTAACACTACCATAGATAGGTAACAATTTACCAATAGCATGGAATTTTCATTCATTATGAAACCCACTTCCCTTCAAAAATGCCTAAGTTCCTCAACCAAGTCACGAACCCCATTATCCAAACCTTAATAGCGCTCTACACCCTAAGACCCCTAAAAGTTGGCACTTTCTACCTATTATTATAATCAATAATCATAATAATTGAATAAATTATACAATTAAATTATTTATTTAATTATAGATTAATTAATTAAATTATATATAAGAACTCACCTTCTCTCAAAAATACCTAAAACCCTTAGACATATCATGACACTTATTATCCTTACACTTTCTACCTGTTATTATAATCGATAATCATGATTATTAAATAAATAATCCATTATTTCTCCAAAATACCTAGGATCCTCAACCAAGTCATGAACTTCATTACCCAAACCCTGACAACATTATACACTCTAAGACCCCGAAAAATTAACACTCTTTTCCTATTATTATAATCGATGATCATGATAATCGAATAAATAACTCACTTTCGCTCAGAAATACCTAAAACCCTGAATCATGTATCGAACCCTATTGTCCACAAATCCTAGCTATCTTGTACACCTTTAGGACCCTCTATGAATCGACACTTTTACCTATTATTATAATTGATGATCATGATAATGAACTAAATAACGAAAGCTGTATGCATATGCTGATGGCGTTCCTCGAGCAACGAGGTTCGATTATTCCAGAAATTAGATACACACGCGTACGTGATCCTTCGCCCGCATGTATGCGTGCTCTTTGAGCTCGTCCTCACGCGTTTAATGCATCGCGCGAAATTATTCGGGTAAAGCAAACTCTAATTGCGGGACGATAAATTTAAATGTTCAATTCACTTTGTGCTTCACGTCGCGACTCTGGTGAATGTCTCGTCGAGCTCGACTTGTCACAGGGTATACGTTATTTTTCGAAGATACGAAAACGGCGAGGGGGTTGAACGCTGCACGATTCGGAAAGAAAGGGTGGCTCACGCGAGCGTGTTCCTTTTGATCTGTCGGGATTGTTTTATACCGTTTTAATGAAACGGAAGGCTAGCTCATAACGTAGGTAGAACTGACAAGTGAAAATACATTTGGCTAAGTTTTATTATTCTGGCAGAGTGGTACGTTTTCGGGTAAATCATACTCGTGTTTACGGAGGGTATTTGAGCTGATTTATTCATATTCGTTGCAGAGATTAAATATATTATTTATGGGACTTTCATTGATTATGCAATGTGAATATAAAGTTTCTATATTTTATAAATAAAATTCTGATTTTAATTCTCTGCACTCTATCGGTGTCATTATGGAGAGATCGATAACAATTTGTTACGCGGTTCCGTTTTTTCGATGAGAAATGAGAGATTGAGTAAGGCAAGTGTATAAATTTTACGATATACGTATTTATAACGTTTCCTCTTTCGAAACTTTTAATTTTAAATCACTTCTTGTTGTACAATTGTGGTGGAATTGCTGATGAGTCGTATCAAAAATTCTCGAAGTGCAGAGGAATTAGCATAAGCGTGTTTCCTTCGATAACTATAAAACGAGTAGTGAATGTGCTTGTTGCGTTTTGGCATTCAGCCCGAGAAAACAAACAAAAGATTGATACCCTATGCGAACTTTACTTAGAGTGATTCACAGAGTGGTTGATAAAAATTCCTTTGAGAAAAGATAAATCGATAAAAGTAAAATTAATAATATCATATTACGTTGTAAATTAAAAATTTACAAATAATATAAAATTTATGATATATATTATATTACAAATTTAAAAAATATTTAATTGGAGGTTATAAATTTTGAAAATGTATAGAATAGCTTGTTACACTATCAAATATCGTGGATCCTCAAAACTTATAATTGAATAATTCTCTTTTCGAATATTTCTTATTTTATGGAAGAACTGTAGATCGCCAAGTAAAAATAAAAAAGGAAAATTTACAAACTATGCTCCTTCAAATTTATTGTTTTCAACTTTGATTCCACAGATATGAGTTGCTTTTAAGGAGAACCAGAAAATATTCAAAATTAAATATACCTTATCTACATGTAAAAATTCTAAAAAAAAGAGAGAAAATGAGAAGATGAATCGTTATATCCTATATAACATATACAACGTAATTATGTATAACACATAATTATCAAATTATTATTTTATTTTCATTTAGTATTTGCAATAAATAAAATAATAATTTTCACTTAATATTTACTATTCATATCAATCCTATAATTCTACTTAATCAAAAAATAAAAAATGGAACTAAACTTCCTGACATCCAATTTTCAAACGATCAAGGTATCTCTCCATCCACCAGTTTAAATACTCTCTATCCAAAATAATAATCTAACTTCGATCCAATTAAATACTCTGCAATAATAAATTGCAATAGTTAACTGTAGCTAAATTTTCAATACAGAACAAAAAATTTGCAACAAACTCCATAAATAAAGAACACCCCATCCCGAATATTTTTGGAAAGAAGCCAGCCCAACCTGGGTGTGTTTCAATTTCGCAAGTTCACCTCAAAGTTCCTCCTTACGGCCTTATTTCTCGAGCATGTACCCTGTACAAAGATGGTGCAGCGTCGAAGACAGAAACATCACGTAAAGGCTTCGTGGTGAATTTCAATATCCATGTCCAAACTCTGGAAGGTGCGACAGGAGACAAATTCCGGATGACATGGCTCCCACGATTTCGTGATGGGACAGCATAACGCCAATCTACGGTAGGCACGTTCTTACCTCAAAATGTCTACCCGTGTCTGCGTAGCTTTCGTTCAAAGTAGTCTCTTCTCGCGAAAATCAAACCTAAACAAGCGACGGATGAGGCGCGAGTCAAAAGTAAACGTGTCAGAGGATGACATTCGATTTGAATTCCTCAGCGTGGATTCCTCACGCATAAAATGTACGAGAGGATTTGACAAAAAGGATTTTTCCTGGAATTTAAATTTCGCGCTTGTCATTGCAATAACGATAAAAAAAGTATAATGACGGATAACTAATAATTAATAATAATGACGATTTTTACTTCTAAAAATCGTAGTAAAAGTCGTACTAAAGAGTAGTACTAAAAATTCATGGTTGAATCTAATTCTATTCCGTAAATTCGTGTAATCCCTTGCACTAGGATTTAATTCTGAGAAATTTTAGTTAACCACTATACCTCTATTTCATTCGCGAAAAAATTGTACGAAAGTTCAAGAATTTCTTTAAATTTTGACCACGTTGGAACACGTTAAATATAATTTTGGTCGCATAAGAAGTGCAATATAAATAATTCTATTATTCGACCACAACTCGTGACGAGTTGAATTCGTTATTGCAGTGTAAAGGTTTAATTATTCAATTTAGGTTGCAAATATAAAACTGCAGTTGACATACAGCGACTAAAATAAAATAAATTATACCGAGAAATTATTACGAGAAAGATATGATAATTATACAATAATTATGATAAATAATATTATAAAAAATATTTCCCGTGAAACTTCTATTTTTCTACAAAGCTAACTTCTATTGTACTAATTAAAATTTACTCTATTAATCATTTTTCCACAAAAATTGCCCGAGCAAGAAAAAGCAAAATCACACGGATAAAATAAAAGAATCTATTCAATAGCGCAGTGTTCTCTTATGAATTTTTCGCGAGTTAAGCGAAGTGACGTTAAAGAAAAAGAATCGCATAACGGATAACCTGTGATACAATGAACCCCTAAACGAGATCATTGTTCTGAGTGATGGCCCGAGTTTACGTTATCCTGGCACGCTGGAATCCAGCCAAGTTCACGAACGCAAATCATATTCTTCTAACGACACCAAATAATTCTCTTTCGCTCGTAAATGCAACCACAGATTGACCATACAAATGTGTTGAACGGGAGATGTACAATGCAGGAATAAATTGTATCCTGAAGCATACACTTATTAACAATCTATTGCCATCCATTTATCGCCTGATCTCGGCTCGACAATATGTAATTAAGCTCTGTTATCAACGTTCTAACCGATTGAATCACCGATAGAAGATTTATGCATTTATGCATAAATACCGCAAAATTGCATTTTGCAACTGTGTAAATTTATACGCAATTCTCAACAATGGTGGACGATAATAGGAACGAACGGTGATAAGAGTGTTGGAGATTTAGTACGCTCGACACTAAGAGTATTATCGTGGAAATTCTGTTTAATAACAAATATATTTAAAGCGATAAATTACGAATATATTTTTCGTCTATCATTTGCTATATATCATCGATGGCCAACAGAGCTTAAACAGTGTAAAAATTAGTGGCTAATGACCGCCATAACGGTGAACGTGTTAGGAATATTTGCAAATTTGTTTCCAATTTAATTTAAGATGGTTGTAAATAAAAACACGGAGATGGAAATATTTAAAATAAACCAAATCAAAGGTTTAACCCTTTTATTTCCAATTGACCGAAATGTCAAATCTTATGCAAAAATTGCCATCACATAATATGTCTACCCAGTATGTTTACATTCAGACTAGTGGTCAGACATTTTCCTAAATTTATATGGAATAAAAAGGACACGATTAAATTGTGTTTTATATTCTTCAAAATCGTGCGTCAGGAAATTAATATTTTCATTTAAATGCAAAAATTGCCATCACATAATATGTCTACCCAGTATGTTTACATTCAGACTAGTGATCAGACATTTTCCTAAATTTATATGGAATAAAAAGAACACGATTAAATTGTGTTTTATATTCTTCAAAATCGTGCGTCAGGAAATTAATATTTTCATTTATTTGGTCATGGCATTTTCTGCATTTGAGGCTCATGGTAAAATGTTGTATTATGACATAAATTTATACGTTCAGGTTTGAGTCGTATTAAATTAATATCGAATAATAATACGTTATAAATATTAAAACGGAGAAAATTTTTTGATATGACAAATTTAAAATTTATGCTGTCTACATGCGCGGAATGGATGATAAAGTATTTAAATGGGAACTTGCTAGTGGCATTAATAGCCTTGTAAATATCCCATGAGATTATCGTTAAAAAATATTTACATATTTACGTTTTCGGCCGCGAGATGCACGAGACTGATGTTAAAATAAATTTGTACCGTCAGTAACACAGACATCTGTCATAAATATAAAAATTTAGCACAATTAATGTACCTCGCTACAACGTACCTCGTAAAATGTATATCATAAATAAAAGCATGCGTATGCTCTTTGCATAAAATGAGTGTTACATATGTCCTCTTGTATACGTGCGTGTTTTTCTCCGTAAAGCTACTAACTGTCAAATAAAAATATGAAATAAATCATATTTGAAAAATTGTTGGATAAAATATAAAAATTCAGACAAATTTTTTTAATATTTCCTGCTGTACAATATTTATAAAAAATTCTGAAAAAGCAATATTTTCGTATTCACTGCCTATCACACGACTATTGAAGATAAAAATACTTAATAAATTGATAAAAATCAGAATTAGTTAAATATTCCATAAAATTAATTAGATATTCCATAAATTAATAGAAATATATCAGACTGTGCAACTTCCATAAAATCCTTCACAAAAATTATCTGAAAATTTTTGAACTAAAAATTGTAATGAAGAGTTTAATCTGTTTGTATAATGTTATGTTAAGAAAGATACTTTGAGACAGAAATTGTTTAGCAAAATTGCAAACATACGTTTCAGTATGATCATATGGGGAAATTTAATTCGAAAGCTTTTAACAATGAGAACTGCTTCAGCAATTTTACGTATTTTGATATACGTATATTTTATAGTTTTGACTTTCTCTGGTTACATTCTCGTGTGCAATACCACATCCCAGGCTGAAATGCCTTCGAGAGAAATCTTGCTTTTTGACAGACACTGAAATATTTCTATCTCTTGCGGCGTTAACCCCTTGACGCCAAGCTCTGTATTTCATACGGGTGCCACGTTTTACATATGTCGACGACATCGGTAAGACATATGGATCTGTGCAACCAGTACTTGTTTATACAGTACCGATATAAACAGTGACACAATGAAAATTCGTGGAAAAAATAGATCAGAAGCTTTCCGATTACTTTTGATTCAGGAAGAAAATGATTAAATAAGACGAAAATTGGTAGATAATACTGAATTAAACGTACAAGATAGAGAAAGAAATATTACTTTAGAAATAAATTAATTAATGAACCCTTTTTAATATTTCATGTTGTCAAAAAATATGTTCTAGTTAATAAATAATGATATAAAAGGACGTAGAAATATTTAAGTCGAAAAACTATTTTAAGGGAAATGAAATCCTCGAAAACGATAGATAAGCATATGCTAAAGATAATAAAATGAGACACAAAATATCTCTGTATTGGTGTAAGGATTGTGTGTTTTGAAGAGAACGAAAGGTAATTTTTGAGATAAATATAATTTGCATCTTATATTGATTCTAATTAAACCCAATTATATAGTTATATTAATTTTTATAGAGAATTTAGAAATAATATATCATTAGCACAATAAATTATTATAGATTGATTTTCCACTGAAAGTTCGTTAAGGGTTGAAATTGACCTGTCACGATTTTATCCCATAAGAATTCATACGTCGTCATTAAAATTTATATATTAAAATTTCTCGAATTTATGCGAACGTGACTGAAAAAAGATTCAACCGAAAATTTCTTCATTACTTAACCTTAAATTATACCCATAATTTACTATTTACACACGTTAAGCTGTACATGATTTTCATAACTAAATCCCCTTTATTTCATTCGCATTTAATTGATATTTTATCATATGTTCTTAAATTAATTTAATTTTCGTGTCACTTTATAATTAAATTTTAATTTCCGAATAAAATCGAATCTTTTATATTAAATGTTCATTTTAACGCTGAATAATTAATGAAATTATACACTGCGATATTTGACATTATTTTTAACTCTACATAATCGCGATTTATTACACTTTCTGTCAGTAAAATCTACGATTATCGTTCGAATTTAGATGTGTACATTTCCCATCCAATGCTACAAAGGGAAGTTACTTGTCACTCTTCTCTCCCTGTACTTACAGTGGCTTTATGATTCTGAAAGTACTCTGTATAGAGTCTTTGTTCAGATTGCTAAAGTACCAGCTCTTTTCAGGTTGACATCTTTCCCTTTGTGTATAATATTTCTGACGTGACAACCAATACGGGATGAAAGGTTCCATTGAAATATATCGACTTTCCGATTCTCGTGACTTTCACATTCACGTACAGAGATGTTTTACAACTGTACATGACAAGTATTCATTTATTGCATATTTCGCGAATATTGTATGATATTTTGCAATTTATTATGCTGTGCAATTAGATAGAATATATTATGTAACATTAATGTACATCATAATTATTTATTTATTTAATTCCTTTCTAACAGTTCGATTATTATATAACTGATATATTTCATTGTCTCGTACTTAGATTCGTCCTTTTCTCTATCTATTTCTTCTTTTACTTTTATTCGATACGAACGAGTCAATTAACGAGAATGGAATTACGTAACAAACGACGAGTGCTTGATCAATTCTTTTGTACGTAATCTTTCCGTTCTTCGTTCGATTTTAATTCACAAGCAATCGTTAATATTAGTATAACCAATTTAATATAACGAGTCAACGAAATTGTATGCGTGAACAAAGGGTATACAGTGCTCTAAATATTACAAAATGTACGTATAAAATTTACAAATAAAATATATAATCTAAAAATTGCTAAAAATTTAGAAATATCACTGAATATGTTGAATGTTCAGCATAAAGGGATAATAATAAAATAAATTAAGTACTCACAAATAGTCGCCCGCTAAAATGTTCGAATATTCCAATTATTAAACGTGTATCTATAATCTTGAATGTTAGGATATTAAAGAATTCCATGATTTAAAATGGAAACATCATGTTTCAGCAATAAGAATCGAAACAGTTACAAAAATATTATATTGACAGCTGTTACATTAACAAATGTAAAATTATTTCTGAAATTGTTACGATATATGAAAATAATCAATTGTGGTTTTATTTATTGTCCTTATATCGATTTTATATTCGTTCCACATTGACATTATATAAAATCGAATATCAATTTAAATAACCAAATATCTAAATAATTATTTTAATTCAATCTCTGTGTCCTAGAATGATTAAATAACAAGATACCAACGTACATGTTCACGTAACTAAATATTTCATCACGTATTCTCTACTCAAATACGAAAATATGTGAACACAATATTTATATGTACATAAAAATTCCTAAACTCGCTAATAAATTAATATATGGACATTTAGATATGCCAATATCCCAATACTTTTACTATCAATTATAACTACTTGAAATCGAAGCAAGATGCCGATTTCTTTCACTGAACAAAGAGAATGCGATAAAACACGAGCAGCAAAAATATTCACACGAACTTTCACATAAGCGAAAGCAGTTTGTCAGCTGTAAGTCCGATGTAAAGGTATATCTGACGGTGCAGCATTTACAGAAGTCGCACAAGTATTATGGACAATAGGTTATCTGGCTGGAAAGCTTCAAATGCTTTTAAAAGCCTACTTCAGCGGTCTTAAAGACAGTTCTATGTTTTACGACTAAGAAGCTTTATTCACTCTTCTGCCCTGTCGCGTTTTATGTCAACCAACGTAGACATGCACCGACACACGTTTCAGCTTCTGACGAAAACGTTTGCCTCCGGGAAATATGTACCGGATCTCGGATTCCTTCTGTGCTGCGTCTCCATTTTTCTGCTTTCGTATCGGACCGGCGAAAAACAAGCTATTTCCCTTTGCAACCCTAACGTACATCGATTACGCTAACTTGGAATACACGAATATGAAAAGATACTTCGACCCGTAGGTCAACGCGAATATATCTATGATTTTATAGAAGAATTTTTATCACGAATTTTTATTTTTTAAATATTGTTACTCAATGTTCCGAATATCAATTTTTTTTATTAGCATTATTCGATTAGATTGCATACTTTTTTGAAGATATAAGATTTGTTTTAATTGATTTTTCTCTTTTTTTATATAAATATTGTACGTGAATCGTATAATATTTATGCTTTGCAATCTAATTAGTACAGAAATTAGGATTTTTCGTAATTGTGACATGCAGTGTTTTACCTTAAAACCACAGATATAGTGAATCACAGAAATATTCGTAGCTTTTTAAATGCTGACTTCGAGTGATTGCTCGTGATACAAATTTTGAGGCCCTTATCAATGGGAATATACATTAATTAAATTCTCGATTGATAGCTTTAACTTTAAACCTTATCGTGCATTAACGATTCAGTGAAAGAAAAACGAGAATTAAAATAAATTGTCATGGAGTTGACGTTAATAAAAATATTCATATTTTAGAAACTTGTTACAAAAAGAAATTAAAATATTCATAAATTTATTTTATCTTGACTTTCGGCTCTGTTAGATATAATATATAATACGCGATGTCATTGATAAGAATTTTAAAGCTACTAGCAATCATTGGAAGTCAACTATTAGGGATACAAATATCTCTGTGCCTTGCTATATTAAAATTAAAAATTTCGTTCCTGTATACTGGTATGATCAAAGATTATTAATTAATATAGCTTTTCTTTAAAGAGGTAGCTATAAACCAAAAAGAATTTTGTTTAATATATTTTTGATAAATATTGCAATACCATATCTATATTTTTATTAATTTATTGATATTTTTCAGCGAGCACGAATCTCATGGGCAAATTCACGCAGAGTGTCCGGAGAATCGTCCAGGATGTAAAGGATGAAGGAACATCGAGTAAGTTTTTGAAAAATATATTTTTAGAAGGCATTCTAATAATCTAATTCGTAATTAGTTCCTGGGAGATTAAAATTCAAGTCACTGTTATACTACAAACTGAAATATATGTTTCTTTTTTAATATTCGCACAATTTCAAATAAATCACAACCAAAAATTGCACACAAACTTTAATTGAAAAAAAAGTAACGGAAAATTTTTAATATAATTCAACTGTTAATTAAAACTTTATATTTTCCCTTCTGTTCCCTGTTCGTTTCATTCGAAGACCATACAGGAAAAACACAATAACTCACATTTTCCATCTTTTATAGAGAAGCAATTTAAAAATTCGACGAACTGGAAACTGCCTTTTTATTTGATTTGGCGATTAAACGCGTACTTTTTCGAGTCTTTTGGTTATTCGAAAAATATAGATTGTAATAACAAGGGTTTATTATCTATTTTAAAAAGGTTATTTTTGTTCACTTTTTAACTACCCTTTAAAATACACCCTTCTAACCACCAACTCATATCAAACTCAAGAAATACAAAAAACTCTCCGATCTCACTTTTCCCTTGTTGTTTTAATTTAAATAATTAATATCAGTAAATAATATCAAAATGCGTATACTTATTACATAATAAATAATATTAAAATACACACTGCAAACTACCAACTCATATCAAACTCGCAAAATAAAAAAATTCTCCTATCTCATTTTTCCCTTGCAATCTTAATTTAACTAACTCTGAACACTAATTACATTTACATACATATCACATAACGCGTCACGTTAATTCTAAATTTTAATTACAAATACCTATTTTTACTCTAACTTCAGGTACCATCCCTGACTTTTATTTCCTCATTTTTCCCCTTGGTGACTGCACGAAAATTTAATTTCCATTTATGCTATATTTCATAATATTCGTTTGAGATACTTCTTTGAAACGAATTGAAATTTAATTCTGTGTAATGCTTCATCAGTTTCCAATACCCGTGTAATTCTTCGCTTGGTTAATGCGCGACGCGGACGTAAATGGTTTTAAAATCCGAGGAAAAACTACCCCCTTTGGGGCACGACATCTTGGATGTCGATTCGCCGAAGCACGGCACTTGTTTGCGGGGTAGTAATGCCGAGGAATTGGGATGAAGATGTTCGTACCAACTGTTAGAAATAAGGTATTGGCGGTGTGCCAGGTGGTCGACTGTTATCTCATGAATGGAATTGAAGCAGAAGCTTTTACACCCGGTCAGTTGGTATAACGACGCGTCAGGAGTACTATTTGCACTTCAAATAGTCGCAAACGTTTCCTCCGGGATAACTTCGTTAAAACCGGATCAATGATACGCGAAACATTTATCATGATTGCATTTTTTTCTTTTTTTTTTCATTTGGAGATAAAAAATATGTACGCGGAATGATAGAGTCACTCAAACGCGATAAAAATAATATAAAAGGAGCTTTTTGATCTCCTTTCCAGAAAATGAAATGAGATACATAGTGGTAAAGTATTTTTGATTCGGTAATTAATAAATACTAATTACATAACTAATTATGATAACTAAGTTAATTATGTAATTAATATTAAATAACTGATTACATAGAGTTACTGTTAATTTAAAAATTATTAATTTTATTTTATTTTTTTAACTAATTGAAATGATATATATATATATTTTAATCCTCTTTTTGTTTGTGAGAGAATAAACGTAAATTAAAAAAAAAAATAAGCTGGAAAATAGGCCGTTTACCGTTTGATATCTTGGTGCATTGATTTATACAGAGAATTTGTACTGAGAATTATGGTCCATTGTTATGAAATAATAAATTTGGTTAAATTTGTATTTATTTTTAATTTTATTTGTATGAAATTATTCGTATGAGAATCGCGCATTCATTTTCGTGAATGAATTAACATGTTAAAAGACCATGCTTTATATTTAATTATCGCCTGCATGCTAACTATAACAAAAATGTATTTTCATTTTTCTTACTGTTGCAGTTATTTAAGCAGCAAATTAGAATAATTTTTAGGAATATCTTATGATAATAACTAGCCATTATGCAAAAAATATTTAATTACGTTATTAAATGAATGCATACCAGATTATAAACTGCGAAATTATACAAGTGATTTTTCACCCCTGTACGTCAGATGTTCTTTTGAAATTATCATACGATGCATGCTATGATTAATGCGATGCAACACTGATAATTAGACCAATACCTAAATCAAACGCGATATTTATATTCTTGTTTAAAGTAGATTTAGATAATGTTCATAAATTAAGAGTAAAAGTAATTAACCATTTAGCCCAAGCTTTTTTGTTCGTTACTCGCATGTTATTACAGATAAGAGATACTAAACTACATAATTACTCGATAGTTATTAACTACATAAATAACGCAAGCAATTATATAAATATTATTTGAAACAAAACTAAAATTAAAATCTATTTCCTCGCGAGTGCTTTTCATGTCTGTTACATGATAACAACATAATCACAATCGAGGTCATAATCTATATCACGAATGTGATAACATCATTAATTATAGAATTTCAAATGATTCAAAGCATTATAGGTATATAAAACTGTCACTTGTCATTCGAGGTTCATGAGACATTAATTTTAATTAGAGAGAGACATTTAATCCTCAACTGATATTAAATCATAAGTGACCAGAACAACTTGGATCAAATCACTTATTTTTTAATATTTATTTTAATTTTGCCCAATATTACAATATATTAAGTTGACCAATAAGTCAGATTTTTATTTTTTAGATACAAGACAGTATTTCTAATTGAACGTAATTAGACCCTAATCAATTGTTTATTATAAATTAAAATGATAAATTTATTATTTCATAAAACTTTCTATGTTCCAAACGAAACGATTATTTTATTAAAAATTCCGATATTATTTTCTGGTCAATCCAATATTACTAAACATATGTATAATAATACATATTATATATCGAATATAATATAATACATAATACAATACATAAAATATCGAATACATGATAAACTTACATAAAATAATCCGAACTTTTGTCATCTCTCAATTCCATCCTTCTAATCACATATGCATACAAGGAATCAAGAAAACCTGTTCAAAATCGTGTTTTCTCTAAATTCTATTATCACGTAAAGTCACCAAGTGCAAAGTGCAAAGCATGTATTTATTATAGTAGCAATAAAGAAGAACTTTAATTAAAACAGAAATGAATTCTCCGTAACGGGGCGGCAACATAAATTTTCTCATTAGGGGTACACGACACAGCTGAAAGCAATAATGTTATTAAGCCAGCTGGTGAATGGACAAGGCGTGTTTGCACACGCGTGCATATAGAGGCTGCATCGCTTATTAATGTTCGAGACTCGCCAAAGGACCATGGTACGAAAAAAGAATACTTGAAAATGGTCATGAAAGGACAGTACAAGTTCCTGGATTGCCAATTCCATTTATTGTTTATCGTAATTTACATTAACTCCATTAAGACTATTAACCCTCTATAATACCATTTGAAGTTAACTATCTATATGTTTAAAATTCCCAAATTTTATTTCATTTACGTACCACTATCCTACCATTGTCAATTTTTTTTTGAAACTTTTGAGTTATTTTGGAAACTATTTACAATTGAATATAACATTACACCGACCCTAAACAATATTTTTGTAAGGATAATTAATTTTCAAATTTTAAAATATCGTCAAAAATTATATTTAGTTATCATTAAATAATAATTATTTATCTAGGGTTATAATACAATTGTAATCGGTTAACATTCTTTTTCTCTTCCAAATGAGACGAAATATTGGGTACAGAGGGTCAAATAATGACCAAAATCCTTTGTGAAACCTCTTCTATAGTAATTAATTTTTGGAAATTAACTGTTTTAACACATCGTATAACATTGTTAATTAAAAGGCTCAGACTTTATGTTTAATATCGAAGAACGAGGAAATAGAAATTAATAGTTTTTTTTATGAACGTTTGAAGTTGATTACAGCCTGTCGATTGCCTCGTGGTATTACAGGTTTCGTTATTGCGTGATCATATTCGGAATTTAATTAAAACTTTCTTCTTATCGGCGAACTCCTATCGAATTTGTTCAAAAACAATCGTTTTTAAATCGCCACATGTACTGAATATTAACGAGAAGATAGATATCACGCGCTCTTTGGAAAATTTTAGATCGCACTTTCATACGTTTTAAATATAACAAATTGCATACACAAATTATTCTAAAATAACTCAAATGAAATAGTAATAACGACCAAAGGAAAATAAAAAAGAAGAATATTATCACCAATTTGGAAAAAAATAACAAAACCTAGTAAAGAATATTCATCTTGAACTTTACTAAATCTTTTTACTATATGAAGCAAAAGAATTCAGAAATTAATATTGTAACGCGGGTACTACTAATAACCTAACAGTCAAAACTGGCCGAATATTCTCTAACGTAAAATCTCTCTAAACTGGCTAAACTAACTCTCTCATAAACTCTCCTCAAGGAACTGCCCATTCACGCCCATGTATCCTTATTTAAACCCGTACATTCTATCCTCTTCCATACCCATGCTCTTTTTCCCAATCACGCTTTTCCACGCACTCTTCGTAGCCTTGCACTCAATGGGCCACGTAGTCCAAACCCTTAAACGCATTCCTAGACACTCTTGACTTGTCGCCGGTACTTCCATAAATATCCCGTCCACACGATCCTTGCGCACGATCACTCATCCTTCCGCACGCACTCCAGATAATATTCCTATATACATTCGTACAATATTTAATTTAAATATTAAAAATGAATTATATTAACTAAGGTAACTAAGAGCTAGGAAAAGTTCGCCATTGAATGGAAGACAACAAATTATAGAAATAAAAATTTTTAATTATATTATATGTATTATATTTGTTAAAATAGGTGGACAAACTAAAGAAGAGGTGATTGAAACAAATGAAAGATTAAGAATCGTAAGGATACGCCTAGATGGAAGCTATGAGATCGCTAAACGTGCCCTTGTTGAACTCATGTGCAAATATACTGACAGCAAGCAAGTCCGCAACGTGTTTCAACGTTACAACCTCTTAAAATTAATGATTAAGGTAATTATGATTTTGCATTCTTGAAGAATAAGATATAAATTATTAACAACGTCTATCTAAGCTATTAATTAATTCTATATCTACAACATGTTTTTTTAATAGGAAACATTATTCGATAGACTCATACTATTGGTTTAATTGACGTCAGTAATCATATTGTACGAGTAATTACTTGTATTCCAAATACTGCATATTTTGGACTAATTGTAAAACCTCATTTTGATATTTGATTTTAAATTAAATATAATAAATATATAATATTCAACATTATGTGATATTATATATGTTATATATATATCATTGTACATGGTATTTAATATTTAGTATAATTAATTTATTATTTGATATTAAATGGTATTTATGTTTAGTACTAAATGATGTTTAATATTATAATTTAAAATCCAATTATTGTTAAACCGAAATAATTCGAATTATATTATTCAATATCGCTCTTACTAATTAATATTAAACTAGACAAAATTTCTATACTTTTCCAATTTATAATAAAATTTATAAAAACCCCAATTGTTCTCTTTCGATAAAAGAACCACCCTCGGTATCATAAGAGGAAGATTCATATTTACGGCCGGTAGTGCACGTATTTTTTCAAAGTTGACGTGCCACACATACACACAGTTACGAGGATTAATAAATCATTATCACAGTTCCGGTGACACGAATAAAATAAAAAATATATAAAACGATTGTTCCCGACCCAACGTGTCCACGGTTGTCCCAGAAACCAAGGGCAGTAAAACTTACTGACCATGCTCCTTCTCAACTAAATTTTTTGCCTCTGAGTAACTTTACAGTCGAAAATTTGACGTAATTTCCTGATTCTCTTTTAGAAGGATACGGGAAATAAAACATGAGAGGAAAATACAGCGATAAGTATAAATTCTTCCCTATACTATATCCAAAATTATTAATTTTAAATAAATGCATATAATTCATTAAATACAAGAATTATAAAAAATTGCTGTTCCATTTGAAATGTCTCTCGATTAAAATTCCGGATGCAAAATCGAGATGTAATTTCAATAAATGAAATCAATAAATTACACATATCTATCTATTCTATCTGAAATAATCTTCGATACCAAGTATAAATGCAAAATCTAAATGCATTTTCGATAAATAAAATCAGAAACTCATTGATAACTGTACTGTTTGGAATACCATCGATTAAAATTTTGATAAGCGAAGTTTAGCTATATTAATCATTATGCACCCCTAATTATACAAATTTAATTTCAAATTAAACCTACACTTGCATAATAAAATACAGTGTACCTTACTTTCAATGCTATTATTAAAGCATCAACAATGAATAATTTTAAAAATATGAACGTCATAAACATCAGCAATAAATAGTTCTACAAATAATTCGAAAATGTGAATAATAATTGGAATGACGAATCCTTCAACAGATAATTTTTAATTCAGTAAAAGATCACGAATAACTCCACTAATACTCGAACTTGGAATTAAAAAGGGACTCCAAGAGAAGATTTTCCTTGGACTTAATACCAAGATGTAGCTTCCGTACGAAGCAGAATCCATCACTCACAACGAGAACATAACCGAATAAAAGTCACAGTTTCCTTTACCCCTGTTCCTTTCACACAAAGTGTCCATGTAGATGAAAAGATCGAATATCCTGTAGCGGACAACCACTCTGGACACTAATTCGTTCTTCCCTTGTCTCTCTTCCCTCTGAGTGTAAGCAATATAGTGGCCACAGAAAGTGTTTCCCTATACTTTCCAAGGAAACGTTTCTTCTTATTAACACGTTGGAAAGAAAGGAAAACTTGTATTAGGTAAATGAGCAATATTTCTGCTACATCGAAATTCTAGTGCAACTTGTTTACTCGAATTTAACTTGAGAGAACTTATCTCGTGACTTATCTCGAATATATTATAAATATACTCGATTGGGGAAAAATTACAATAAAAATATTTTTAATTAATTCTAATTTTCTGGATGAAAAAGCTTTTAATTTAAAAATTCCAATGATAAGTTGCCCCACTAGGATTCATCCCTTTCTCATTTCTATTGGACCTGTTAATCCTGATTTAATTTAATTTTGAGCAGTCTGTGTGTTAGAGTTCGAGTGCAATATTTTTAGAAAATTTAGTACCTGATTCAATATTCGCTACATGTCGAATTAAAGGTGTTACTGTGGAAGTATTTTTTGTAATCGGTGTTATTACATAGGATGTATCTTACCTTTGTAGGATGTAATCAAGTTGGAGACTCAGTATTGGACGCTGGTGGATATACCAAAGCAGGAGAAACAGGAGACGGTGCCTGCTTTCGTCCTGCGCGCGTGTTCCATTATGGAGAAGACCCACAAAAGCGGAGAGGGTGTGAAAACTTCGGCTCGACTGGCTGAGGAAGCTGAAACCAAAAGAGAACGCATTGAGAGACTCGAAAGTGAGTTGAAATTCACTAAAAATTCGGTTTTTACATATAAATCGTTTTAATAAACGAAGAGAAAATAATTCTTGGAATAAAATTGAAAATAGAGTAAAGATAAAATATCTTGAATATGTACCAAATATATAGTAAATTCGTGATATTAACAATAAACCTACCACGATCTAAATTACCATTTTTAAACATTTTATTAAAAATTCCACCTAATGAACTTTTCAATATTTTCTTTTGTTTCATTTTTTCTGTTATGTTCTTTTATTTTTTCATACACCAATCATTTGACTGGTCGTGATATTAAGGTTTAATATTAAGAAGACAGTAATTGGTATTTCTTTAATTAATATCAAATCTAAAAACAAAATATCAGGGATTTTATATTGTTTTATATCAATAATTTCAAGAACTTCTATAATTCTAATTATTTTAAATTAATATTAAAGATTTGCACTTTTATTATATCATAAATTTGTCTAATTAGGAATTTTTTCATTTTATTTATGAATAATTATATAATATTAAATATTAAATCGTCTATAAAAATAGAAGTATTTTAGAAAGATAACCTATTCACGAAAAGATTGTGTAATATGTTACATGGTTTCAAAGGTACGGTATGATGGAGATTCCTGAAAAGTGTTTCAAAATGTTAATAAGATTAAAATTGTAGAACGAGTATTTGATATATCTCGTAAAAGAAAATTCGACAGCATTATATCATCGTTCTTGGAATAAAAATTTTTGAAAAATGGATCATCTAATATATCGTGTTATACATGAAAAATGGATCGCCCGATATATTGAATTATGCATGAAATCTCGAATCATATTTGAAAATCAATCTTATTAAGTGTTATAAAATATTTATAAAAATGGAAAATTGCGTATAATACATATTTCCATTACTTTAAAAATTAACGTCGGATTAATACTTTATAAAAGTACAGGAGCATGAAAAATGTCGTTGAACGATCGCTGTGACACGAAAACATCGGAAATGAAGTTCGAGCAAATATGAACATTTATTCATGCTATGAATGATCTCCTGGTTGGACAAATTGCTCGGAAAAGACACAACTCGATGGCTGTCTTGTCGCTTGGAAACTTTCCAAGCATGAATAATATATTACCTACCATCATACGTGCTCGATAGGGGCAAGAAGAGATCAGTTATGCCACTATGACGGTATTGTCATTCAGCATTATTATACCTACGCCAAATTTACCCCCGTAGGATGATATAACGTTCCATTAAAAATACCACTTCTTGTTTGCTTCGTACATTGTTCAAAATAACATATTCTTTGAACCTTCCATATATCATGAAAACTAATGTCATAATTTATATAACGAACTCTCGTCGGTATAATAATTTAGTATAAAATAAAACTAAAATGAGATTGGAAATATCGATGAATAATCATTTTATATTAAATGAAGTCTGTTTAAGGTTTATCTAAAGTTTGTTTAATCCTTTCATTTCCACAAGATATATATGGCACTTTGACCATTTCTGTATTTAGAATTATGGAGGTATGACTTCAATAAATAATGAAATATTACAATATTCATATTAATAAAGTTACTTTCAATGTATCTCAATTTTCATCTGTCAATTTTGATTTCTTTGACATTTTAGTGATATCACTTTGTCAAATATTACTTAAATAAAATTTAATGACTACATAGTAATTCTGAACACTGAGAAAAAGAGGTAACTAAAATTATTGAAAGAATACTAAATAAATTAAACAATGGCAATTCATACGAAATTATTATTGTATAATTTAATTACTTTATATTTCGAATATTCACAAGACACTAAAAAAATTTGGTGATATCAATTAATTTTATGTCAAGGATCTTCGTATAATTTTCCTAAGTTACAAACAAAAATTTTGTTTACTCGTTCAAGAATAATTTAGGAATAAAAGGATTAAGGAACTTACACTTTATATACTTCATTTTCTCATATAACCAAAATGTATGAAATTATGTTTCTAGAAAATCCAAACAAGTAAAGAGAACAGAGAAAAGAACGAAAAAAGCTTGAAATGAAACGAAGTGTCACGTGAAATTTAGAACAACAATATTTTACTGTCTAGCTTACCGTAGAAGATATTGAACGCTTCATAAAAGGACAATGCCACTGCAATGAATAATTCATCCACCCAAATATCGTATTTGCTATGTACTCGACAACAGACGTTTCATCGAATATAATATATCTTACAGCCATTCATCATCGATTTATTCCTATATCGTTTGTTTTAATATGCACAGGTATGACGACAGCCCAAATCGAAGCGGAGAACACGCAAATGACTAACGACCTGTACAGATTACTGAAAAAGTACACCGGGCTCAGAAATCTCATTCGAGACCTGAAGGTATTTATAAGTAAATCGGATAAACCGAGTAACGTCTCTCCCTTGCATATTCATGAAGACTGAATAAGCGAATAAATAATTCCTCAAAAGCGTGTTGAAGCGTCTTTGAAGATCCATTATCGGTGGAAATTCGTCCCTTGCAGCCTCAGTGTATTAAAGTACACCTATACACATCTTGTATACTCCGTTTCCTTTCCACTCTCCATGTTATCGCGACAGATCAACCAATAAGAGGCCATTCAGTAGGTTGGGAAAGAGTAGTAACACCAATTTACACGCTGTCCCGTGATTCCTAAAGAGATAATTACATGGCAGTCCGACGACAAAGATGCTTGATATAATTTCGCTTGAGAAGTGAGCTTTAGCTATATGATTTAATCCGACAATATAAACTTAGGATTTAATCTGTTTTTTTGTTGGATTAATAGCATCGATAGAGGAGATCATAAATCATACGCATCGGGGGAAAAAATTCACGAAGCAACGATATTTAGGTCACAAAAATAAGAGGAAAGACTTTCACGTATTTCACGATGCAAGCCGTATAATCCATCAGCTGAAACTTTTTTAACCAGCATTTTTTCGTGTTGCTCTTTTTAGGGAATTTCTTTTTTCAACGCGTTACTCAAAAGAAGTTTCAGTTTGCAGCGTCTTATTATTTTCGGGGCTTATGGGAGAGCATGAAACATTGTTTCCGAAGTAAAATAAACACGTTTTCGCGTCTAGATTATAATTAAAGATTGCAATTAGAAGATTCTTTTGTTTCAGGACTATTAAACGTAATGGTGGAATTTTTATTTCAAAGTTCAGCTAATTTACTGTTTATTACGTTGCACTGTATCAAAAATGTTCAAAACGAAAGAATTATGAATAACAAGAAATTCTAATCGTATTATTATATTTAGTAAAAATGTAATATATTTAATAGAATCGTATTTTAATTAAAAAATACAGTAAGCATATCTACTTCTTTATTTTAAAATTTAAACACAATAACAAAATTTTTATTCCGAGTTTCAAATAATGAATTGCCTATTACTTTACACGATATAGTTGAGTGTTGTCAAATATTTGTAATAAAATAGTTATGAATGGAATTTACTTTATTCTTTTATCTATTTTATTCATATAATTATTTATTTCATATTTAAAATTAATTTATTTTATTTCATTGCCTCACACTAAATTCTACATCTTTTTCTTTTGAAAAAGTAACGATTGCTTACGTTCAATATGCATTACAAACTAATTTGGATAATTATCGTGTTTTAATTTTCAGTGCATACATTTCAGGAAAAAAATCGATACTTTAATTATCGACAGCTACTACCTAATATTCTACTGATGATTAATCTTAAATTGTGTCCCACTAGAACCGTATAAAAATCTCATCGATAATTTAGAAAATATAAAAGGAAATAATTTTGAAGTACATAAACAATCTTTATGTTCCCATTTCAAATGGGAAGTAAAAGGGAACTTAAGTACCAATTAAAATTGCAATTGCTTATTTAACAAATAATTAAACCAAAGACAAGTTACATTTGCATAAAATATACATTTAACTTCCATTAAATTTAAAAGAAAATAAACTGGAAGAAAATATTTTATGTAACTTACTTCACCTATGTCATTCGACTATATTTAGCTATCCAGTCGTTCCCTATATTCCTCACAGCCTATATACCCTATATACCCTGCACAAAAGCCTAATTACCACAACCACTAATTCCCATTAAACAAAATTGCCACAAACGAAAGTTGAAAACGCAACTTTTTCGTCTACCACTTGCAGTTGTTATTTCTGACAGCCATCTGACTAGCTTATAATCTTAATAACACTAATGTACTGTTTGCCGCAGGAGGAGTACAATAGCTCAAAGGTGTATCCAATCTTTCCTCGTTACCCGATCCTAAAGGACATGATAAAGGACATAATGCACAACCCAGACTACATGGAGGTTTGTCACGAGGTGGACCAAGCATAGCGGCCAGACCCCCTCCACCGTTCGCCACGTATGACCTTGTAAACTTACCTTTACAAAGAGTCTTAACGTGGACGTTGGTGAAGGGGGTGAACCGGAAACGAGCCTCAACAGGGCTCACTCTTCAGTCGCGGTGGTCGATCGCCGTACATTCTGTACATTTTTTCTTTCACACCTTTGCTCTCTATTGGAAAAACCTACATATCTCTGTTCATTGCTCGCTGATCGAAATAATTTGTCCGATTACCCAATCTGATCGAATTCCGTAGAAATCCCATGAGAAATCATGCATCGTCTTGCGTGTTATTTCTACGCTAATTCGAAATTTGTTTAACGAATGCTTGTGTAGGGTGGAAAGCTGTGCGTGTGTAAAGTAAAGAAATATAATATCGCGTTGTAAGGAGCGAGAGGAAAAAGGGTAGATTTTATCGGGAAATTTATAATTAAAAGGGAAGATTCTTCTTAGAGATTCTTCGTATGTTGGAACGAAGCTTTTTAGTATAGTCGAGTCTTCGTCGTGGAATTTTGTGGAATCACGAGAGCTCTGCTACTTAGCGAGAATCACGAAGGATTTCTCGAATTAGTATAATTCGAGAAAAAGGAAAAATTATACGAAATCAAAGAATACTACGATCTTCGAGATATCGAATAATAAGGAAATCGGTGGTTCAATTTGAAAATTCGTCGAATTAAAATGAAAGACAATTGGAGTGAAGCACCAAGTAGCGGAGCTGGAGGTAATTCCAACATAGAGAAGAAATCGAACTGATCATCTTAGTTTCTGATTCCGATCGGAATAGCCGCTTGCACGTTGAAACACAAAATAAGAGATTACACCAGCGCGTTTCACGCGTAAACGCCGTGAACGTGGTGTAGAATTTTTATTAAGGCAGCTAATGTCGCTCATAACGTCGAGAAATCCTGAGAATGTTAGATTTGTAAGACGTGTCCCAGTCGTCGAGCGTGTGTATACGCGTGTGTGTCCTTTTGTGTACAAATTATAATACCGTATGCGCGTGCGTGTGCTTATTGAAAATAAAACTAAAAAAAATTGATTAAACGGATTAAATGTGAATCGCGATATTCTGCTTCCTGCTACTCGTAATATGCGACGCCGCCATTTTGCGCAGCGCGAACCTAACGACAGTTTGTTGAGCAAACGAGACCTCTCTTTACCTACGAACAGGACAAACAGTAGCAATCTAGTAAAATAATTATACTTATCCCTTATAAAGTATCGCTTAGCGAGTGACACAACTGTTTTTCGTAACGTCTGAACATTTTTGCTTCGACTACGATGAAAACTATTGAGTATAACGTTGTTAACTTAATTAATAATCGATGTCACGTGAGATGGCGCAACTGATATAATACGCGACGTATAGCATGTTGATGTTGTCGAAAGAAGACAGATTTATCGTATACGTAGATTGTTTCATTCGAAAGTTTCTTCTTTATTTTCCAGCGAATTTAATTTGATCGGTAATTCGTATCGCGTGTTTTATCTTTTTTTTTCAAATTACTTGTCAAAAATCGTACGAGGGAATAAGAAATTGTAAGAGCTTAGATAATGAGAATTGTGCTAAAATTTTCGAGTTTCTCCACGATATTTTCAAATTTATACGAGTAATTTTTTCCAAATTGAATTATTTTATAAAGTATTCGCGATAATATATCTTCGTATTTCCTTCCATTTCATTTTTCATTGAACTACTTCGTTATTTTGCATAGGATATTTCTTAATACTCGTAAAATAAAAATCTTAAGAGAGTTTAAACTTTATCTATCTTGAATATATATAAATATATATAAATATATTTTTTTGGATCTATCGAAGATGAGAAAAATTGCTATCGATATCTTTATTTCATGCAGGAAGCAGTTTCACTTGCATTGTCCTGTGCGAGCTTCTTTTACATCTGTTGAAAGACTATAAAACGTATGTATATTCGACTCCACTTGAAACGGAATTATCTACTTTGTATATCGAAGTAATGATAGCGATAGGTCGCACATAATGTTATCGCATATTAAGGCAGAAAAGTGAGGATGTATCACAAGATATATAATTGTTAATTTGATATAACAAACATATCGTCATTGTCACATATACATGCATAATATAGTCATAAAGACAGGTACATGAATCCACAGAAACAGACACATGTACGTACGTACGTACGTACTTTACATGTTGCAGTCTAATCGTAAATAATTATTATAATAAACATGGGATTATCCATCATTCTACGTAATGTCGATTGGACTCATGTCTCCTTGTCGATGGAGTACACATGTACGTACGCAAACAACATATTTTCTATTGCATTTAGCAACGAGCATTATTACGCTGCGCTATTGTTTTGATAAAGACAGCTAAATTAATGCAATGCCACGTTCGCTATAAATTGTGACAAATATCTGTGCTCGTATATTAAATTGACCTCAATTATAAGACAAGCGTAAGACGAGTTATTCTGCTAAAATTACTAACTTTTCAGAAATTTTACATACAAATTTGGAATTTAAAATAAAATATAAATTCCATGGCATTATTCGCTTTCCACTGAAATATTTTGGAAGTAGCAGAGAATGGATCGAAAATAATAGCGAACTATAACAATAAAAATTCACGTCTTGTAATTTTAATATTCGAAAATCAGTGGAAACTAAAATTAAATTCTACTGACAATATTAAAATACAATTTTAATAATTTCAACAGTCAATTAATCAAATTAATCGGATATAACAACGAATTATAGCGAATGTGTGATTCGAATGCAAATCACCATACAATCTAACAAATTTTTACAGAACTTTCGTTTGAAAGAAAATTTGCGTGACGCCATTTGCACGTTTAACACGATAAATTAAAATAAAAATGGCGGAAATTCATAAGGATCTGCTTCTACACGAACAACTACGATTTTCATAACACTCGAAACAAGCACTTACCGCGAATTTATTTTAACACATGCTATTGTGATATTGATTTCCATTTCAAGCGAAACACTAGACAGCCTTTGAAACTCTATACCGAGCGTTTTATCGTTAAGATCTAGTCTTAAAAGAAACAAAGATACGAATAATCTACTACTTAAGTAATATATAAGAAATGAAAAAAAAAAACAATGGCTGACAGCTCGAAATCAAAATGCAACATAGAATGCGCGACATACATTGAGATGACAGGATGATCCGTCATTAAATCGTGGATCCTTTTCAATGTGTGTCGATGACTAGTGACCCACAGTCTGTTCCCTTGTGTCTTTAAAACCGTTCTCGTATCAAAAAGCATATTGCAATAGTGGATTATATGTATATGAAATAGGATGCCACGGAAATGCTGGGTACAGGCATATACTTAGAATGCTAAAACGATAATAATTAAGTTATTACATGGCATACTCGGTGACTAACATTGAGAAAGTAATTTGTACTTTCGTAAACGCGAATTTCTCTTTACAAATAGATGCATCAAAGCATGGCGAAACTCGATAGCTGAGACCTTCTACTGTTTGAGAATCAAATTTTCCAGGGAATCAAATATTTTTCGAGAGGTATTCGTTTCCAGCGCATCGATCCTCAGTTTATCGAAATGCAACGCGTACAAAATCAAATTCTAAGCGACCGCGAATGACGAGCTTATGCGACCAGTGCTTTAATTGTTACGAATTTCGTGATAATTTTGCGTTTGTATGATATACATATGCGTTCTCCGTTGAGGTATATATGTATCAAATTTTGCGAATCAAACTTGCGTAGCTTCGAGTGAAATTTAAAGGTACAGAAAGGGATGGAAACTTGAAGAATCGGATGGAATATAGATCATTTGCGAAATTATGTTACGAGGTTTTATTAAACATTTTTTTGTCTGCATCCAGCAAGTCTATATGAAGGAAAACACGTACTGTACTGACTGTTTAGAGTAGTGCTTTTGTCGTAGGTATTTACCTTAGTCGATAACTTGTGTATATAAAGAAACGTAAAATATTTAAAGAGATTTCACGACACAAAGAACTACACTACAGCTTAATAATTTTCCGGTTTATTTTCTATCGATTTCGCCTAATTTCGCTACCTAGCACGAATAATAACTGCGATTTTTAAATCCTTCAATTAGTCTTTAAATACGTTAAACAAATCTGTACAATCAAATTTGCTTGTGCTCGAAATCAAAAGAATCCAGTATCAAATACTTAATGATCAAAACTCAGTCGAAATGTTGATTAATTATATTACATTTCCCAAATCGTTTGTCTATTTTGATATCGATATAAAGACCAAAATCAACCTAAAAATTACCAAAAGATATCGCTCGTGATGTATATCGATTGTGAAATTTTGTTTCGCGAATGTTAACTGGTCAAATTCTATTTATGATATCTATTATAGCAAGATACATTTACGATTACCTTGGGATAATTCAGTCGCAAAGTCACAATTTATATTTTTTACGCAAAACAAGATACCTTCTTAGACCAATGATCGTGTAACGTTAAGGATATAGCGTAAAGCAAAACGTATATGTAGCGAAGGAATAAAGCTATACTCGATGCAATGTCTTTGAATTGATAAATATAGCAAGCGTGCTCGCCTTTTTGATGAAACTAGGAGAGTGCCAAATAGATTTTGAAAGTTTATACGTGTGTGCAAGTGCGAATATAGCGTTGTGCGATGGCATACATTCGCGAGTGTTACTGTACAATTTTTATATAGCGTATTGTACGTAATAACGTAGCTTTGTTTCGCTGGGCTGATCGTCAATTAGATATACGTCAAAATTTTTGATAACTTCATAAGGAATTTTTGCGTATGAGTAATTTGTACATTAACACGTTGAGTCCGGCGTCGGTACCTAGGGACTTTTCATTTGGACAGTGTCGATCCGTGGGACCGATAGTATCAAAGTTAAAAAATAAATGTAGGAATGGAATGAGTGCGGCCCTGAAAGAATGTCAAAAGTGTTTGGGCCTAGAAAGAAAGTAACCGCGTGTAAGAGGATCGACTGCAAAGAATGTTTATGATAGAGTCGAATAAAAGTTTAGGAATGCATCCAAAGTAGTTGAAGTACCTGACCCACCGAGGTTGCGTGGGAAAGGGCATGATAGAGAAAGAAAGCCTGAGTATGGAAGAGTGGACAGAATGAATGATTAAAAGTAAGGGTGCAAGAGCGTGAGCGGACCGTTTGCAAAAACAGTGTGCAAAGACAGTTTGGAAAGGCAGTCCATCAGTTACAGTCTATCAGTTTGAGTTTAGAGTGTCAGTTTATGAAATTCAGTTGTAAGAGTCAGTTTTAAGAAGGATCAGAGAAGTGTGCCCATAGCGAATCTCTCTTGTTTCACAGCTAACCGCTGTCATTCGATTTACACGCTTATTTTATTACAACAATACTATCTTAAGTCAATCCACCCAAAAACGATCCTACATAAATGTAGTAATTTTAATGATATCTATTGAAACACTCTAAACAAAAATATGGTTTTCCTTTGCATGTGTTACAAAACGTGACGACCTTTTTAGTCAAATTTCTGGCTGTCTTGGGTCCGAATAGCGTTGAATTTTGTTATAACATCGGAAAGGACAGGAATATCGACGCCAGGCTCAACGTGTTAAACGATCCATTATACATGAAATCAAACTTGTCTTAATTTCGATGAAAGCGATATTTAATCAAATTTATCATCTATAAATGAGAATATATGAGAAATGAGTTATCATCTGAGCCTGTAAAGATCCAGAATCACACCAGCGAAATAAATTATCTATAATTTAAGTATAATTACGATGAATATATACAGATGTCCGATACGAGAGATCTACCTAATGTGTTTAAAGAGTGTGTACATGGTAGAGGTAATAACTCTGTTAATGTCTCATAGAAATGTATAACATTCAATGGTGCTTTGGTTTCCCGCGTGATGTTATTAAGAGAGGTCTTTAAAAATACGATATTTCTTACGAGAAATATTTAGCTTCTCCCCATTCCGGATAAGTTATACGTAGCAATATGGCCATAGGAATAATGAAATTTTTTATTAAAAAAAAGATTGAATTTGCTTCGACACGTGCACGTTTTTATATAAATCGGCCCAATAATTAAAAAATGCTTCAAGAGTACTCGATAGCAAGTACCCTTATGGGGTACAGAGTTTCTACCACGAGAGAGAAAAAAATCGGCAAGCTTGAGCGACGAACGAAGATCAATTATGAAATCAAAGGACCATTATCCGCTGATTAAATATACATAAGTGTACAATAACGTTAATCGATCGGCAAGACATACTTATAGCTTCCTGTGAAAACTCAATTTTCGTAACCTCGTCTCGCGCTCTCGATAAGTGTGTGTTTATGGATCCATCAATGAAAATTCGACCAATCTGTATGTCTATAACCAGTAATCGTACGCTGTTCGGCACACGTCTCATCTACGCGTCTGAACGATGCACTTGTGTAAGTCAGATATACATATTCGCTTTATTACGATAAGCTTCTGGGTGCATATCGATAAGTTACGATAGATGTAAATTTTTACGGACAAAAGAAGAAGAAAAAAAAAAATGAAAAAAGAATACAAATATATATATTTTGACAGAAACTTCACGAGGAAGTTCGCGAAAATCTTGAGGAGGACCTTCACCGAGACTGTTCGTTTAGCGCGAGCGTCTGCAAAGAGCAAAGAGTTTCCATGACAGACGTTCAACATCGCATCTCCTTGTAAAAGAAATTCTAATGTCTTCGTGATATTTTCTGATAGAACGTATCGACGCCGCGAATCGAATTGTTTCGCACGTTCCAGATCCCATTCCGCGAATGCTAATTACGATAATTCGTGTTCCGTGAGAGACCATGGGATCACGGTCCATCTCGAAGGAAGGCATCAGCAAAGGAAGGGTCGCAGAGAATTTCAGGATAGAATTTTTCTAATTTCATAAACATTAGTGGGTGACTATAGCTTTTCGTTCTCTTATCCGCAATTATGACCTACGATGGGTTGCCCCGTACGCAGTTTTGAACAAGACGATTTCATTCACGCACTGTTAAAGTTCTACGGAATAGAGACGTCGAGGTGTCGTTAGTACAGCTAGCTTCGTGTACTTCGTTGTAATACGTGCGGTTCAATAAGCGGTCAGATTGTATGAATATATAAATAAGTCAATCACCTGGCTAGATCGACTGAAGGAACATATTACATAGGATTATACAGGTTGTCTGTTATCGTTTATATATCGTGCGATCATTGCAGTCAATAGTTATCGAGAACATAGATTCCCAAAATCGGTGTGTGAACTTTATTCAGCACGTTACGGCGTCGCGAAAAAATTCGCAAATGCTTGTCGAATTTCGATCATTGGTACCATTAATCGCTAGTCCGTGTAGAATTTATAATATACATATAATCACTTGTGGTAAAAAGAAAAAAAAAGGAGATAAGCTATTGTGATGTTTGTATGTTCGTTACGGTAGAGCAGCGAGGTCGGATTCGTCTAGGAACGCATATAGTGTACAGCTATACTATAATCTATGGCATGGTTTCAATTTTTATCGGTTCCCATAATATGTATTTGGTGATTTATCGAGGTATAGTTGGAGTACGATACGCACTTTGATCAGTCGTAAGTTTGTTTTAATAATTTCTTATATATTCCTTTCCGATCGGATACAGTAGGTCCCTGTATAACCCTACCCTATAACGTGTAAATTTTACGTTTCTGTTTTGATCGTATAAAATAAAGTGCATATTTAAATTATACGTCATATCGAAAAGAAAATATTTAATTTTTAATTATTTCTTTCTAGCTTTTTGCACTCTTGATCTCGTATAACTCGAAATAGCTGTATAACTCTGAATCTGTCGTGTTATAGAGGGCCCTATTATACCAGATATTTCATAGTATCGCGAAAATGGAGATGGAAAATCTGACTGTACAAATTACGTTTGAACGACAAAGAAAATCGTTTCGTACTTCATCTTCGATATGTTTAATGCAACTATACAGTATCCCTCGTCAAAAAGAAAAAAATGAAAAAAACATCGATGTCCTGACTGTTTCGTGTTCAACTAAAGTTTTTGATGTTTTAATAACTGCTTCGTTAAAGAAATAGAATCTTAACGTCGATGCTGCTGGTATTCTTTATTCGTTCGTTCCCTTCTTTTATTTAAAAGAAAAATTCGTAAATTCTTTATTTCTTAAATTCTAACGTATAATTTTTGTTCGTGGTATATCGGTGTATGCTTTCATGTTTAATAATTGCAGTTACCAAATAGATTTAATAGAAGTATAGCAAAGAACGTTAAGATTCTGGAAAAAAGATAGAGCTAGAAGAAAAAGTGAATAGACGACGAGTTGCGTAATGTCGATGTATGTAAGTAAAATTAGTTTGCAATTCATGTAACTAGTTAACAGATGGACGTGGCGTATGTTAGAAAGCAAGGGAAATGTTACAAGGAAATTGTGTGTGTTTGTAATCGCGTTCCTTAAACAGACTGGCCCTCATAGGTAACATTAAAGTAACGCGTTTATGTATGAACTGGTGTTCAATAGTACACGATTAGCTACTAGATATCATGCTAGATTAGTAAAAATGTAATGTATGCTAGATGTTATAGTGTCGTAATAGTGTTTACACCTTCCTATTTACGCATTCTGTGTTTCCTGATGGAAGATAGCAAGTAGTTGTGTGTACATGCTAGACTAGTTTTAACAATTAGACCTTAGTCATTGATTTGAACGGAATATTATGCTACAGTATATACTGAATGTACCATTTTAATTTTCTCTAATACGTCTTTGTTACCGCTATAAAACTTCACTTGTTTATTGGTTGTTAAGCTTTGTTAATAAAATACTATAAGATTTTAAACGACTTTTTTCTCGACTTTCAATACATTCACTGCACCTTCCCTGTTCAATTTATTACAACATAACGTATACGTTATAATTTGATTAATTTTATTAAATCTTTTTATGTACATAAATACATTCTACGAAATTATTTCTAGAATATCACTTAAAAATGGTAAAATTTATTTCGCCCACTAGATAAATTTGGCACATTTTATTACGTATTAAAAATTATCTCCTATTACGATAGAAGAAATAGCATATGATTTGCAATAAGTCATATTTATAATAGCTTCTTTAAATAGACGGATGAAAAATTAGTCCATGCGAAATGCTAACTTTTAACAGGCGGCACCACTAATAGCATGAAAGTTAGTAACAATCAAGATGGCTGCTACTAACTCGAATATATCCAGTGATAGTCCAACCAAGAAAGAGGACGAATTCAATGAATTTTATTCAGAAGTATGTAAATTCCGAATGACAACGTGTCGTTAGACTCTCAATCTGTGTAAAAGTCCGTTTTTGATATAATTCTTGATTATATAACTGTAAACACTTATACCTCACGTTAAGGGTTAACAAACGTCACTATGTATGCATTAAACAATAATAATAAATCGAATTTAAAGCACAATATATCATACAGTTTCTCATTATTTAATAAGCATTACCTAACATTTCTTGATATATAATAAAATAAACTGCTTTTCCAGTAAACTTTCGAGTTATAAATAAGCCTAACCTTTACAAAGGTATTCGCGCCCTAAACAAATAGTTGTTTCTCGATCTGTAAGACGTTCTATTTTTCTGTAGGTGAAGGAAATAGAAAAAAGGGATTCGGTATTAACTCCTAAACAACAAATCGACCGATTACTTCGACCTGGATCATCTTATTTCAATTTAAATCCCTTTGAAGTATTACAAATTGATCCATCCACCTCTATAGATGAAATCAAGAAAAAATATCGACGTGTAAGTAAAAACTCCTGTACTTTTAGTATAATATGTAAATTTTTAAATGTATATTAGTAAATTATTTTGATTTTATAGATGTCAATTCTTGTACATCCTGATAAAAACCAGGATGACGCAGAGCGTGCACAGCAAGCATTTGAAAGTATGTATTTATTTCTATCTTTAAGAATAACAGATTTTCAAAATTATTTATGTGGTTATAGTTGTTAACAAAGCATGGAAAACACTGGAAAATGAAGAAACTAGAGCAAAATGTATGGATGTTATAGAAGAAGCGAAAGCTAGGACTGATCACATGGTATAAATAATGAAAGACTACTTTTTTCTTGCTTATGAAAATATGTGTGTAACTTATTTAATAGTTAAAAATTTATTAGATCGTAGAAAAGAAGAAAAAGTTAAAAAAGGAAGGAAAAACAGAAAGTGCGAATGTACTTGAAGAAGAAACAGAAGAAGGTTACAGACACGCAGTTTGGGTTATGACCATGAAACTCTTTGCCGATATGGAAAGAAGAAGGTGAATTTGAATAATGATGATAGTTTGTAGAATTGATTTTATTCATTGTAACTAATCAAACTCGTTCTTTTTTTATTACGTAGGAGAGAATTAGCTACTAGAGATGCAGAGCAACGTAAAAGGAAACGAGAAGAGGAACTCTCTGCAGAAGCACAAGCTGCGTTAGAACGTGAGTGGCAAAAAAATTTTGAGGAATCACGACAATCAAGAGTTGATAGTTGGAAAGCTTTCCAATCTGGTGCTAGTGCCACAAAACAAAAGAAAGCAAAAAAATTAAAAGCTTTCAGGCCCCCCAAAACGAAAGCTGAATCACGATAATTAAACAATTGTTCCTGATGCCTGACATAGATTCTTTTATTTGATACAGCATTTCATATTTCTTGCAAAAAAAGAAAAAGTAGTTTAAATAGCATGTTCTCACTATGTGACATCAGATTATCGAATTCATTAAAACTAATTGGAACTGTTCTCATTTGAAATTCATTTTTTAGTATTTGTTAATCAAAAATTTGTGATTTAATGCTAATTAAGAAAATCATCAAAATCAGGTGTCAAAGTAGAGAATGAGTTATAAGAAGAGTGGTGAGTACATTGAGCAGCAAAGTGTGAGTATGGTTAGCGTATGCATCTTTCAAGAATAATCTGTATGTTTGTTGAATGTACGTGTATGTATGAACGTACATAGTTGTGATATATTTACATGGCCCGAGTAAGTTTAACTTTAACATGAAATCTTGGTCTAATCAAATTATTGCATAAAATATAAGGCAGTTTATTATACATTGTATACTATATATTGTTGGATAACAAATGTCAATTTTATGATATATATGTACCTCATATTTTTATCTGAAATATACAATTACATGACACAATGCTTTAAAAAAGGAGAATATTTAAACTATTCTAATTTGTCAAATAGACTCGAAATTGGTATTTATTAAGTTTTTATATACCTCTTCGAATTGCAGTACAGCAATAGTCTATAATTCAAAGAATATTGCTATACTTTAAAGCTACAAGGTGACTTGAAATGCAATATATAGTAATAAAGGTAAAGTATAAAAATATGTTCTTTTGCAGAACATAACCTCTGTTTATATATTGCAAGAAAAATTTGACTTTGTGTATTCATATTGTGCTTGCACAACCTATTGCTATATAACATTGTGTGATATAATCATTATATTATTCTAAGATAAATTATTTCATCTGTATTTGATACATACGTAATGCGGATGAAATTACAACGTTCTTGGTATTTCTTTTTTTCCTCAATTGTTACACTTTCAATAAACACTTCGTTTTTACACTAACAATTAATTCACTGTTAACGACAATACGTAGCCATATTAACATTTGAAAATTTTGAACCACTGCTACCAATGACATCAAGTACACTACCAATAAATAGTATGCGTATTATATTTTAATGCATATACTTCGTTTGAAAGTTAGAAAATATAAATACATTATTTTTGTTTTGATTTTACGAAACACATTGAGCAAGGTGATACGACAATATTTTACGTTTCACTGTCATTGAAACAACTTAACGGGCCATGTATTCATAACTTCCGGTTTTCAATAGGTATTGCATAATGGATGTTATATCTTGACGTACACTTGGTCCAATTGTAATTTGTAAGATTATTGTAAGGAGAAAAATTTCTAAAGCGTAAGCTTTCTCATTGCAAGTCACTTTGGATAGTCTTACTAACATATGAAAGTCAATGTTGTACAAGTGCCGATGAGAGTAAACGGTGAGATGGTGTGCATGCGTGTGTACATGTGCGTAGGCGCGGCGCGTGTGTGTGTGTGTGCGTGTGTGTGTAAACAATAAAATCGCAAAATGAAATTTTTATTAAAGATCGAATGAATGATCATTACGCGAAATAACCTTTATTTTTAATTTTTTCTCTTTTTTTTAATATGGGTTTTTCTATGCTGCCATAAACTTTAATAATTCCGATTTATATATCAACGCAATATCAATGATCGGTTTACTACCACCAAGTAATACCAAATAATGCGTTATACAATACACACTCGAAGGATGCCTCGTTTGTTTATAATGTTTGTACAATACTGGGTAGTAGGAAAAATACCTAATCATGGTTTTTATTTATATGTACAAAAATTTCATTATATCACACAGCAAATGATATTAGAAATATTCAGTCCAACAGCATCGATTGAGGAATTAATTTCTTTTTTTCAAATTAATTAAAACTTTTCATTCATCCGTAAGAATGTTAAATAACATGAATACATTATAGTATTATTTAATGCAATAGAAGATTCATTTTGTACAAGTACTAAAGTATAAGTCGTCAATGATAATTTGTATTGTTCTTTATTTAGTTCGATCATTTGTTATTAATGTATTCGTCTTGTATATTATGACGTCCATGGGATATAAAATGTAAATATGATACATATCGAGTATTCATAATTTAATAACTCCACTCAGGGTGTATGAAAAACATGCTAACATTTATGTGACGGATTAATTCAGTACGAGCTATTCGCAAAAACTTTTTGCAAACATAAGCCTAGATAAATATATTCCGAATAATGTGATATGCGAATATGGAATTAATGGCGCGCGAGGTGTAAACGTTATATGGAAATCGAACAACTCACAAGTGTTCACTTTATTTGTTTACGTAAATGTACAAATTTTTTATGCACTCTATACTCGTAATAGTAGAAAACGAAGAACGAAGATTTTACAACCTTTATATTATGTAATCATGTTTTATAGTTGTCAACTGTTTCATCAGACTGTACTTATAATACAGTTCGCGTATTTTTCTCTTTTTTTTTAGTTTTGCATCATAACTCGATAAGAATATTGCAAGAAACAGGTTATTCACACATATAGATGTCTAATAACGTATTAAAAATATTCGAGACTGTGAAACTGCAGAAACGACACACACAACACAACTAAACCTATTGTAAGTAACATTAACAGTATCTTTTACTTTTATTAAAATTGTGTTTATAGTATTAAACATACTAATGACTATCCACGATCTTGTCTTTTTTACTCTTTGCATGCGCATGCTGAATAAAAGTAACGCTCTCATTCATATTGTGTTCCAGCCTAGGAATATTGTAAAATATTATAATTGTTTATGTGTAATGTTCGTTTTAATTATTACTTGCTAAACAGTTCGTCGCCATAGTGCCTTTCAAAGCTGCTGCACTAGCAATGACTTACGATGAAATGCATTTTACGTGACTGTACACTTCCATCCGGAGTGTGTACGTGAGTTGCATATAGAAATGTGTTAGCCAAAACCGTACACATACAAACGTATCTTATTTATTTAATTTATTATGAATATACTTTAGCTTGGCTCAGTATTGCGCATAATACTTTTAATATTCTTTAATATTTGAAATATTTACCAATATTTTAGTGTCTTTTGTTATTATTTTTTCTTTTTCTTCTATATCTGTTTTTAAGGATATTCAAAAAGAAAAAGCAATATTTTTCTTATAAATAATAATACATTTGTTCGTTTATTATCTTTATTACGTATAATATTTGTTGTTTACATTCCAGTAGAGAGAAAATTCTTTTTTTGAAAGGTATGTTTTTGAAGCTATTAGTATCCGTATTTAAAAGGTTTACAGTGCAAAGTAGATTTATTAATGCCATTTGGTTACTGTAAATAGTTTAACTAAACTGAATAAGAAATCCTCAAGCTTGTCGAACTGTACTTTCTTCAAACATTAGCGTTTTCTATTTAAGCGTTTACTACAGTCATTCAAATTTCGTACGCTTTCGTAAAAGTTGTGATACCTGACTACTGTAATCAAAAGAGTTTGTATTAATTTAACAGAAATCTCGTGTTTAAATTAAACGTTTATTAGAAAATACCGTTGATTTATACAAATATATTCCTACAAATAAACGAAGCTAGTTTGTGTAAAATTTTTAATAAGTTTTAATACTTGCAAGCAAGAGTATTAATATTCGGTCGTGTAGTTGCGAGCTGCGCATGCGCAGTTGTGCACGAATCGAACTTCATGCGCAACAGGTAACAGTGCATTCTTGCCCTTTCAAATTTTTAGTCTGCTCCTCGAGAAATCAGTTTCTCTTTACACCAACAATTACAATCGATCGATGTGCGATTCAGGACCCAGAGAGTGAAATTCCAAGCGGAAGAACAATGACCTACAGCATGGTAATATAAGTGAATGAAATCACCAGTAAGATAAACAAACCAATACGAATTGACGTTATTGAATATTTTCAACACGAATCTCTGAAATCACCGAAATATTTCCTTCATATAAATTATTAACGCGATAAAGCAATACGAATTTATATATATTTTCTATATTATTAAAAAATATTACTAAAAAATTCACTAGAAATGAACATTTAACCTTATACCCTAATTTTCAGATAAGGTAGAATAAACAAAACAGTATCGACGTAGTTTCGTTAAGGGATATTCAGGAAAGGTGAAAGTAAGACATAATCGGCATAAAAGAAATTATGTTAACGGAAATTACGCTAATGACTTTCATCGTATACGCAAATATTGTTTCTCTCTTTCGCAACGCACAAACCGTATAAGGTAGATATTTCGTTAAAGTTACAAAAATATCGCGAGATCTATCGATTTCGTACACTGAAGATCGCAGTACGATTGCTCGAAAAGAGCTCCGTATCCGAGTAGCTGATCTGCGTACATATACATAATAAGCAAGTTTTTATCGTTGCATGTGTGCACAGGTGCTGGGAGCGTGTTCGTGTACGTTTACACGTGAACCAGCCAGGACAAATATCGATGTATAAGGATCGACACGTGAACGGGAGGGAACCGTTCTTCTTTGTAGCGCCGCTCACGCACACCGTGGAAAGAAATGTTATTTCTGCGCATATAGCCAGGTAGAAGGACGTGTTTGTACGACCGCTTCACGAATGGTACGTAAACGTCTCTCGCTCGCATACGTGAACCGTTACACAGATGGAGGCGGCGAGCATCGGTGTGCGTTCTCAACGACAGGTAAACGGAAATGCGTCTGAACGTGCACGATCACGAAGAAACTATAACCGAATGCGTGGTTGTGCACGTTTGAAAGAAGCACACGAACGTGTCCCCTCGCAAACAGGGAGCCAATGTCTGCACGTTTCATCGACGGCTGCGAAAAGGAAAAAGTCCTGGCGCGTGTTTTTTCTAAGCCAAAGAAAGCGGTACGCACAGGCACAGATACACGAGCACCGATGTCCGGTTGAAACGTATACGCTGAGGACAGTATGCAAATGAAAGGAACACCGTCTACCTGAAACGTGCGTACGCGAAAGACACGTGTGTTCATCGCGCAGCACAGGCTCGAGTCGGCGTCAGCGTAGCGTATTCGTATGTAGAGAACCGCGTGGAACCTGTTCACACACAAACGCAGAGAGAGATAAATATCCGTGTACGTAGACGATGGCGACTCGGCTGTAGGAAAAACACGTACGTACGAGGATACACGTACAGCCGAAAGATAGCGGTGTATAGCGGCTAATAGCCATCCCTACGAAGGCTGGAGCGTGGCAAGGTGTGCGTGCGCACAGGTAGAAGGAACGCGTTTCGTCCGCGGACAAACGAGCGTCTACGAACAGCGACGACCGGTACCACACAGATAAAAGAAAAATGATGGTGTGCGTGGCTGTGCACAGGTAGAAGGAAGAGAACAGCGGCAACAGAGGCAGAGGTGCGGCGTGACCGCTTCGCCGCGACACTACACGAGACTGCAGTGAGTTGGTCGCTGCCGTGCGTCGCTCTTCACTGCTTTTCGATCGACACGAACGATCGACAACCGCGGATCCGGCCGGCCGTGGATCGTGGATCGTGGAAAATCTGTGTGGACTCGCAACCTGTTGCGCTACCGGCTACCGATCTCTCATACATCGGACTCAACACGCACCACTCTAGCGGCACACCACGGCACAGTATTAGCCTTGACGGGCGCCAGCCAACCTGGACACATACTTAACTTGCACAGCTAGCGCGCGTTCACACGTGGATCGCAGCGAGTGCGCGGCATCGCTACGTGGATTCGAATCGAGGAAAGTAATCCTCGATACGTCGGATGATCGGAGGAAAGTGGCGTCGATATGTGACCCGTGATCGTGTGTCAACAGTGTGCTGGCCAGCGGAGCACCATGTCGACGACGGACGTGTTTCGCATCGCGCAACAGGGACCGCCGTCTGCCGAAGAGGAGCAAGGGTAACGTTCACCAGTGTTCTTTCGCATGGTTCGCGTGATCCGCCACTAGGTTCATCGATCCTTTGATTTTCCCCATGGAAAACACCATCTGCATGTTGTCCAGGGTTCGATAGAATTTAGGTGAACGGTCGATACGTGTGATTGTTCTGGAAGATCCGGTAGGAATGTTTTTGTTCAGGCTTCAGTTACGCATTGCTCGACTCGGAGTACGGTCTTAAAAGTGATCGCCTCGAGGAGGGGATCGTTCGGTTTGATCGGTACGAGGTATAGCCGATAGGATGTTGAATCGTCGTGTTGGAATGTCATTTAGTCATGTGTTCCTGTACGAGGTTTGACGGACGTTTAGATTTTCATGTAAAATTTATAAACCGTGCTTGCGGCGTATTTTTCATTCCAGTTACGTGGAATGATCGAATCCCGCTATGAAATAGGCACCTCGAACGAACGTGTTTCGAGGACGAATCGCGTTCGATCGAATCTTATTTACTTACCTTTATATCTCACGACCGTTTACGATTTATCAGAGTGATTTGCGTTATACTTTCTACGCTGCTCGAGGCAATAAACCTCGACGAATACGAGCCAGCGGAGCGACTGTCGAATACTGAATCGTCGGGAGTAAGACGTTCGCTTGGAAACCTGTTTTAGCACTATCCAGAATTTCTATACCAGCCGAGCAAATTAAAACACGGTAAATCGTGACTCCGTTTTGAATATTTCAACCGATTGTACCACCGAATCGGAGGTAATAATTTTCACGTCCGCCAAGAAATGAATGAAATATTTCATCCAGGGTTTTTCTCTTTCTCGGACAAGAGAGACATATTTCTTCTTGTTTCTGGGTGAAAACCAACAATGAGTGGCAGGACGGTAACGTAGCTATAATTTCGACGAATTTTTCCCAATCTATGCACGAATTACATCCTTCGCGATATTACCCAAAGTCAGTGTAGTCGAATTTTTTTGCCAGCCAAGTCTTTCTGACGCCAACGAGCGTATAATTAGACAAATGTACGGATAATGTGCGTGTACCTTTTAATGTTACTCTACCGTATAATTTGCCAGATGTTTGCAGTCACTACCATAACCGTTCGCATACTTGCTTCGTTCCAACTTTTCGTCGACAAATATCTCTTATCGCAGTCCTCGGTGTAGGTGTTTGTGAGAAATTCGAAGATGGACCAGCATAGTTCGATCCGTCATGCGAGGTGAGCGAAACGATCCGCCATGTACGAATTCGGAAGATGACTGGTCGATTTAAATCGACCTCGTGATCAGCGATTCCACAGGTGGCTATCGGTGAATAGAAAATGCGAAAAGCTTCCATATAGAGGTAGCACCACGATATTAGTCACGTTTCTCGACTGTCTCTCTCCCTCCCTCTCTCTCAATGTCAATGACTGCTCCCTCAGGGCTAGCTGTGACCCCCCGTGCGAACGAGAGTCTCGTCTTTCTGTATGTCGTAGCATATAGCCGGAGTCGAGTGGAATGGCGCTTTCACACGGAGCCATAAGGAACTCGCGATATTTATATGTATACATATACATATCGTGGCCGACACGTTGGTCCAAGTTTCTAAATGCATAAAATAGGTTCAAAAATAGCGAGCGTGTATTTTTAATCTACCATGCTGTTGTGCAGCGAATGGCTAGCTCGAGCGCGCCAAATGTTGGCTGATTTGAATGCGGGAACGGACCATTTTGGCATTTGCCAGCTTCTCGATGTAAATGCACGAGTAACGAGTGATATTTCGTCAATCGCAAGTCGGTGAAATTACTGGAAACTACTTAGGCGTACGTAAACAAGCTCGCGTGTTATAAATCGCGAAGCTTTCGTGAAGAATTTCTCTATGGCTTATCAGGTTCTAACTAGAAGACATTATCGAAACCAGTTCGGGTTCGATACGACTTTCACTGAAAATTATCTCTACGTAAATATCGGCGGTCCTTGGAGATAAAACTTCGAGGAGTAATAGGTAGTCCAACAACATTTTCACGTAAATTTACTGGGGGTCTCTATCGGATTTATCGTTCCAGTTGTGACTCTCTAATCGACTGGATTTATGGCGATTACGGGGACGCAGTTTTATCAACGGATTTCCTTTATTATTCATAAAGCAGCTCAGACGTGCGAGCGCTGGTAAGCTCGCTGTGATACTCGGAGAAACGAACCTTAAACCTTAAGGTTGACTAACGGGACTTCCGGCGTCCGTACGTACCTATAGCGCATACAGTGATTGCCGTTGCAATTCTGTGACCCGCAGTGTACACGTATTCGCCGGGATGCTGACAAAAAGTCGCAAATATGTGCCATCTTTTCTCCTTTCCATTCGAATCCCGCTACCACAGCTGCGGTTGCCATCGAGGCTGACATCTTCCAGCCAAACTTCGTTAACGCTCTTGACACGCCATCTGTCCCGGTCCTCCGTTCAAACGTTCGCCATGATGGATGATGGATCGTGGGTAAATGTTAATTAAGTAGGATAGTCTGGAATAGAAAATACGAATGGAAACCAGTGTAACACTGGTAGCCAGGAAAATTATTCGCATAGCAATTCGATTTTCTTTTGTATCACGGGCTGGGATTCTAGCCCAGCGCGACGGCTATAAGGTGCAAGTGAAATTGTCCGTGTAATGGGCTGATTTTCATTTACATATCAGACAGAGATATCAGACATTGCGAACGAAGAATACTTCGCAACGCGAGATAGTCGCTTTCGTGTTTTATGAGGCAGGGGCGAACAGGGAATAAAAAATTGATGGAATAATAGTATACTATACGTGCCGTCTTTTATTATGTGTCTAATAATTAATTACAGTAACGACCAGGGAAAGCTATTGTTCCCTCTTGCGTGAAAACTAAATGACAGAGCGTGATTGCGGCTGCAGTTTTGAACATAGATCATGCTCCTCCGCGTTTCCGCTCCACTTTCCGCTGTAATATATTGAAAACTTGTCATCGATCGGTATACGTGTATATATTTTTCCAGTGGATTGAAAGGGATCGTGCGATTAGAGGTCGCTAGATACGAAACCATGACGTGAAAGCATGAGAAAACGTAATTCTAAATTCTGCCTTATTAATATCAGAGAAAACGAAGAGCCGAGGAACGCCGAGTCAAATGACCTCTTTCAAAATTTACTTTATAAATCGTACATTCATCTTTATTTCTTTCGCTCATCTGACTTCCTGTAAATTCTCGTATTATCCGATTGTTTCATTTCTCGCTTTCCGTTTTTCTCTTAACTTATTTTTCACCGAGAAAAATTCATTGCATACCGTATATACCACGAAGGGTCATTTGACCCCCTATGGTAAGAATAGGTGTGCGTAAAATACCGATACGTTTAGTGTTAATATCCAGCCACCCGAGTACCATTTTCTTCCTTTTATTTCTTATTTGTCGAACAATAACTTATCGTTTGCAACAGAACAATGCGCCAATTATGGCGAGACATAGAGGCAACCGACTTTAAAGCACTGGAGATACGCGCGACAGATGAACCGCATTTACAAAAGTCGACGTAACAGGTTATCTTCGTATACCAGAACGGATAACCGGATACTCGTTTCCTCGCTGAAGGTACAGCCATTTACGGGAAATCGCGACAGGGCCACTCTTCCTGGTGGTATCTGCAAATGGTATTACCGTGATTAGACGTATGCTTGAGCAATAGAACGCTACCTAAGCGAGAATCATCGCCGTTAATACCTCCGTATGCGTGCATGTTGATAAGCTAGGATGAGTTTAGCAACTCGTGCCTCAATTCGCCTGACCTATCGCCTATGAGATATCGCTAATAAGAACTTTTACCATTTCGTTAATGGGCTTTCCTCGCAATGGCGCTGGTCATGAACGAGTTTCGAGACTATTAGTCTAGCTCCGTGTTTCCCTGAAGTCATTACCTCGTTTCCGCTTTGACCATTCGCATATTTTCGTTAAATGACCGCATTTGTATTTAGATAAGTTTTAAGGCAACCCGAATATAGTGTACTCGCGAGACTTATAGGTACTCCAATTGCATTGTTTTTGACAAAAATTGCTTTTTACAACTCAGGGAATTCAGGGTCGTTCGCGAAAGTATTATTATGCTCCTAAATTTTTGAGGAATGAAATATACGATAGAAAGCTGGGACGTAATATTGTAGCTGAAGATAAAAAGTATTATTATGTTCGTATCCTAAATTTTTGAGGAATGAAATATACGATAGAAAGCTGGGACGTAATATTGTAGCTGAAGATGCCAGCATTGAGGACACGTGGTGGTATAGTATAAAAAGGTACGATAACAAATACGGTATTTGCGAAACACCGAATGTGGACATGTTTATGAAGGTGAGAAAAATATTCAAACATATACAATTAAGAGGACATCAACATTGCTCTCAATGCTAAAAATAGTCCAACTAATTATTTACACCAACCAATGTGGTATGGTTCACACTTTCAATTATTTCTGATGTTAGTAAAAAGTACAGTGTGCGACAAAATGGTGTAAGGTGTAACAAAGTTTATGATCATTAGTATTCCTCGCATAACTTCGTAGCAATGAATCTCGATAAAAGAATTACGCGATTACAGGTAATTTATCATTGTACTGCTATAGTATGATACACGTTCACGTTGGATGTTCTATTTACTGCCGGATTTTTTCGCCATTTTTTCCACGTGTCTCCAATACTCGCATCTTACCTTACGCGAGGTATTATTTTCATAGTCTAAATCCGATATGTACATTTATCAAAAATTTCGCAGTCGAACGTGCGAATACTTTCACGAGCGACTGTACGCGTTGCTGTGTTCACGGAACCTGCGTTAGCTATAACTATTCCTCCGAAATATGAATTCGCGGAAAGGACAAAGTGCATTGTAATTCGTTGTTTAACGCGAAAATGGGAAAAAATTGGTGAAACTATAGCTTCGTGCTCCTCGATATAAATTATTGAGACAGCGATACGAGCGGATACAATTACGCGATCTCGATCACAGATTAGCGACC